TAACTAAATGTTTCCAGAAGTTTAAAAACCTCCATAGACCAGGTTTTTAAAATATGTTTCTTTTTCTCTCCACATGGCTGTGTTTAAGGGATTCTCAAAGGCAAGCGTGGGCTGAAAGGAGGCTACAAGGGGTGAGAATTTCTATGGAGAAAATATGAGATAAGACGCCTAAATTGACTCTGCTGTGCACGTTTCATGTTTATCTGTTCTTTGTCTGGGTCATTTGCCACCTCAGAGTGTTTCTAAACAACAATGACATGTCTTGGGAGAATGGCAATCCGTTCCTGAGTCAGATTCCTGAGGTGCCATTGGAAGACAGCCTGAAATGAACAAGGGCAATTATTTAAAACAAACATCCCTATTTTCTGTTAATCTGTTTCCAGGGGGAGACCACTCAATACCAATTTGCATATCTTCCTATCTTCCTTATACAACATTCCCTTTTCTCCTATTGAACCCCTCATGACTGTCCTTCCCTTTCTTCATGTGTCTCAGGTACAACTGGTCATAAAGTGGGGATGCTGCTTGACTCCTTCTTCCTTCTAAACATGCCCGGGTCAGCCCAACCCTGCATTCTAGAACCTGGTTACCTTGTCCAATAGACTGCTGGCAAGAATTCCTTCTATTTCAGCCATAGTTTAGTGAGTGTATAGGAATGACTCTTGAACACTGCCCTAGCGTCTAGGTTCTAAACAACTACTTTGCTATTTCTTTTCACCAAGAAATGTCCTTTTTATATAGCAGGATTTCCCTAATTCCCCCAATCAACAACACAAAATCACCTGAGAAACACACTGACTCATACTTTGACGAGTTGTAGGCACTGGGGATACAGCCCAAAGCAAAAGTTCCAAGACTATTACACTGTGGATCTTACTCTTTAGTCCAAGCTGACTAGGTATAAGAAGAAAAAGTGAGCAGGAAGTTGGAAGGGGAAAGGAGTTATGGAGGATTGGGGGATGTGCACACTGTCAGGATGGGCAAGCATCTGAGTCAGAAGGAGTCCAGTGCGGCTGGAACAGAGTATGGATAGAGAGGTAGAGTAGTTGCAGATGGGTAAGGGAAAGAGGCAGATCGTGGAGGTATTTGTAGGCTATTACAGGGATTGGGGCTGTATTCAGTGTGAGGGGAACAGGTTAAAGCATGTTAACCAGGATTTCGGAAGCTTGGCCTATTTCTCACCGGGTATGAATAATTTATTAATAGGGGCTGTCCTGTGCATTGTAGGATATTTAGCAGCATACTTAATCTGTACCCACTAGAGGGAAGGTAACAACCCCTCTCTGCCATAGTGACAGGCAAACATGTCACCAGACATGTCCAAGTGTCTCTTTTGGGTGTCACAATGACCCCTGGTTAGGAACCAAGACCCTATAAACAGTGTTAGAAAGACTTCCCCAGATCAAACTGACTTTCTGCTTAAAGCCTAGAAATCTGCATGGGAAATCAGTACCCCAGGGGTCTCTTAAAACAGGACAAACTTTGGAAAGTCTGCTCTAAACCTTGCTACCGAAAAGTGTAGTTTTAAGACCAGAAGCCATGACATCTCTCAGGTGCTTGTTATAAATGCAGAGTTTCAGGCACAACTCTAGACATGCTGAAGCAGAAGAGCATTTTCAACAAAACCCTCTGGGGATCACTGAGCATTGTCCTATTTGACAGACACTGTGTTAGAGAATTTCAACAGGATTAGATCTCAACAAGTATTGTTGAGGTTAATTATCTCTTCTTAGATTCTAAGTCATTTTGATCCTTGATCAAGAATCACTGAGGCAACAGGGTACTTCTGGTGGCCAGGGTCAAAACTTCCCTGCACTACGTACACAGGATTGGTGGATTCTAGCAAGTTGAAAACAAAGATCACAGAGAAAGCAGAAAACACAAACAAAAATTTAAAAAAGTGGAGAGAGATATCCTACAGAGATACAGAACCCTGGACAACTGTGAGAAGGAAAGACCAGGAAGATCTACATCGGATGCCTTAAGCATTGTTTGTTGGGTAACAGCTGTTAATGTCTGTGTCAGAGGGCTCTGCTTTTATTTATCATTCTCTTACCCACAATTTGACCAAGATTAATGAAGAAGAGTTGGGACATTAAGGTCATTTGACTTCCTTTGGGAATAAAATAAAGGGATTGACAGGGTCTAAAGACCAAGCTGTTGTGATAATGTTTTAGAATAATGACTCTTTAATTTCCCCTTGATTAGCAGTTAGAACGATCTTGCATAGAATCATCTTGGCGTACATTCCAAGGAAACACGTGTTTCTAGGGCTCCAACAGAAAACCTGGCAGTGGTAGAGGTACATAAGAAGAGATGGAGAGGGGAAAATGAGTGGAAAACTATGTTAGCGGGGATTATACTCCTGTTCAAAATGATCAAAATCAGTGAGGTGATGGGGAAAATTTGTGAGGACATTGTGAGATATGAAAACTTTACATTTCATAAGCTTTTGCAATCGGAGGTTAAATAGCACAGTACACAGAGGTATAAGTAAAACAAAGAGAAAAAAAATTCTTGGAACCAAGACAAAAGAAAACAGAGAGTAAGAAAGAAAGAACATGGAACAAACAGTGTTAGCCTGTTCTGAGTAGGAAGGCCAGTGGCCAACTGAAGACATAGGCAGAAGTCTCCGTTCAGCCAAGCTCTGCTCAAAGTCAGACACCCAACAAAGAGAATGGTTCTGAGGCTCTGAGGTGTCCCGGGAACAGGTAGTTGCCCTGTGTCAGTACTGTGGGTGTTTTCACTCAGCTGACTTGGAAATCACGATGGCACCATTGCTTCTTCACTTTTACAGTATGATGAAAATGTATCTATCCTACAAATTACTGGGGAAGAAAATAGACAGATAAGGAAATATGTGTAAAAAAAGAAGAGGTTCTGGGGCTGGCCCCGTGGCCGAGTGGTTAAGTTCGCGCACTCCGCTGCAGGCGGCCCAGTGTTTCGTTGGTTCGAATCCTGGGCGCGGACATGGCACTGCTCATCAGACCACGCTGAGGCAGCGTCCCACATGCTACAACTAGAAGAACCCACAACGAAGAATACACAACTATGTACCGGGGGGCTTTGGGGAGAAAAAGGAAAAAATAAAATCTTTAAAAAAAAAAAAAAAAAAAGAAGAGGTTCTTTGGATGATTTAATGTCCTTGAAAAAATAACCACTCATACAGAGAGAGGAGGAAATTTGCTTTTTCTTTTCAAACTGCTAAAAATTGAGGAACTATTATTACCCTTTTTTGCTTTCTTGGAGAAACAATTGAGTCAAAGGATAAATAATATATTGAAGACCAGCTTCTCACGAAGCTGTTAGGAAAACAGAACAATGAAAATGAATTTTTCATATGCTTTTCTTCCAATGAGGTTATGGGGCATTTACATGGCAAGTGCTCTTAGTAACGTGGATGAAAGAGCCTGCTTCGGGGAAGAAGGAGGTGATCAGTGTTTAGTGCTGATATGATTTTCTCCTCAAGGGAATAGGTGACCTGCCTGGGGTCTCTTAGGAAACTGAAAACCTGAAGAAGTTTGGCTGAACTGTCACCCAAAGGAAAATGGATTAGTAGTTAATCTGCGAGATTGTCAATATTGGTTGGTCTTTGGAGCCTAATTCTGATTCTATTTTATTCCTAAAGGAAGTCATATGACCTTCACGTCCTAACTGTATCTTGTTGAATATTGCCCAAAATTTGTGTAGGAGAATGGGAAAAATAAAACCAAACCAAACCAAACCAAACCCGGGGAAGTGACAAGAATATATAGACAACAGATTTTCAATAAATATTCAAAAGAAATACAGTGGAAAAGAATAATCTTTTCAGCAAAAATGATGGAAATATTGGATATGCATATGCAAAAAAGAATAAAGAACTTCAACACATACTTTGCCCCATATAGTAAACTCAAAGTGATTCATGGACTAGATGTAAAATCTAAAGCTACAAATTCCAGAAGAAATAGGAGAAAAGTCTGTGACCTTGGGTTCAGCCATTATTTCTTAGATAAGACCTCAAAGCATGATCCTTGAATGCAAACAATCAACATACAACCTGGTCTTCAGCAAAAGGAAGATATTTGGGCCTTGAGGGATATTATTAAGGGAATGAAAAGAGAAGCCACACGCTGAGAGAAAATACTTGCTAATCTTCTAAACCTATCTAAAATAGGCTTATAGCCAGAATATATAAAGAAATCTCCAAACTCAATAATAAGAAATCAAACTGTCTAATCAATATTGAACAAATGGATTGCAGAGACACTTAGCAAAGAAAATACTTACATGCCAAACAATTGATTGAGTGTTATATAGAGATTGGTTTCCTGTGGTTTATCTCTAAGCTAGGCTGCCCACCGCGTGGACAGTTCAGGAAGCTGGCTTTAAAGAACACAGATAATATGTCAGGAGCTATACAGAGTCAGAAATCTCATAAATTTTAGTGAAATTAAATTGTGTACTCACGGCAAAATGAAATTGTAGATGTGGATCTGGGAAGGATTCATAAGTAGGGTAATATACAAAAATTTGTTCTTGTTGAAAAGACTTCATTAATCTTAAATATAGACTCCTCTGAGGAATGTTTTTATAACTGATTCATGGCCTAGATGCCATATTTCAGTATTGTTAAACCTGACAATAACATCTTATTTTTAGAAAACAAGTCTAAACCTATGTCCTCCATGTTAAGGAAATAAAGCGGGAGTTGGGGATACATGTATCGGACTGCTTATTTCAGTTTGTAACTCAGGATCTAAAAGGATAAATATTGCTGTTCTTCAAATATGCATGTGTATTGTGGTCTCTCATTTAATCTAAAGATCAAACGTCCAGATAACCTTATGCTTCTGTTAAAGTAAATCTCATTATCAAAATAACAGGATGCCATGAAAGCTCATCACTGCCAACCAGGATATTATAAGAAGATTTATACATACCCAAGGTCTTATGATTAATAACAGTTGGTTCATTACGTGTCATGTCAACAGACCACTACTATAAAAGTGGCACAAATTCTGATTCTCTCTAACAACTGTCACACTCTCAGCTTCTCCAGAAGAAGGTCAACAAGCACCAACGAGATGCAGATTCTGCTGCTGAGTCTTGTACTGGGTGTGGTTTGTGCTGTCCAGGAACCTCAATCTGAGACTGATTACTCACTGGTAACAAGGGTTTGAGAGGCTGGTCTGAGAGGACGACTTGAGTGTGTGTGTGTGTGTGTGTGTGTGTGTAGGAGCCCCTTTTGGTCTTGTTATTTGTGTATCTGAATTTACATGCACCTAAGCATAGCAATCTACCTCCAACTCAGAATCACTCTATTAATTGGCTCCTTACATATTTCTACTGTACTTGTCTTATATTGTCTCGGTATTGTCTATATTGTCTATTAATTGGCTCCTTATGCAGTTCTATTGTCCTTGTCTAAGACAGAGAACCAATCAAACAACTGTTGAACTGGAGGTTTGCTTTGATAACATAACTTAAGCTATTTCAGAAATATCTCCATTTCTTCTTTTACCCTTGACTTGGGTTTTCACATTATTTTATAAACCCTGGTTTGTTCAATAAAGATAGACAGTTTTGGGCTGATGTAAAAGAGAAAGAAAAGTCATGATGGATAATGTCAGAAACAGTAAAAAGAACATGAATAAATTTTCTGATGGGAACTTGGCTTTTAGTTTTCAGGAGAATGGAACACCATTTACATCGGATCCAGTAACATAGAGAAGATCAGTGAGAACGGACCATTCAGAATTCTTCTCCGTAGACTTGATTTAGACAGTGCAGGTGACAGAATCATCTACACGTTTTTTCTCAAGTAAGTAAAAATAACACAGAACGAAAACACATATGAATGCTCGACCCTGAGAGAGGGTCTGTTGGACTTCCATGTTTGTTTTGAAATATCTGAATTATGTTCGAGTGTGTGAGTCTCTGAGCTGTGTGCTTAGAAGACTCTATGCAGTCGTCCTGTCAGCTCCAGCACCATCCTCTAGAGAAAGTCCTGGAAGATTTGCTGGGAGGGCAAAAAGTCACAGAAGCTCCACTGGAATCATTTGATTAAAGAAAAGAGGGACAAAAGCAGCCAAGAGGGCATAGATTCCTCAAACTCTAAAATTCCTACTACTAGCCTGAATCTCTTATGTAGAATTTGTAAAAGGTGGTTCACATTTAGGGGATCTGTGTTCCAGAAGAGTGTGAGCAGGTGGATAATGCAAAATGATGTTGACCCAGAAGAACTTACTTATAGTGATTTTTGATCATTATTAAATTCATTAAAGCCCTCATTGCTTCAGGGGTTATATATGAAATGCTCACCATATTGCAGGCATTTTATTAAGAACTCAAATGACTTATTTCACTTAGCAAAATACCTTCTAGATCCATCCATGCTGTTGCAACTGGTAGGGTTTCATTCTTTTTTATGGTTGATTAATATTCCATTGTATATATACACCACATCTTCTTTATCCATTCATCTACGGATGGAAATTTATGTTGTTTCCATGTCTTGGCTATTGTAAATAATGCTGCCATGAACATACGGGTGCATATATCTTTTTGATTTAGTGTTTTCGTTTTCTTTGGATGAATACCCACAAGTGGAATTGCTAAATCGTTTGGTGGGTCTCGCTTTAATTTTTTGAGGAACTTCAATACTGTTTTCCGTAGTGACTTTGCCAGTATACATTCCCAACAACCAGAGTTCCCTTTTCTCCACATCCTCGCCAACACTTGTTATTTGTTTTCTTTTTAATAACAGGTATTCTGACAGGTGTGAGAATATGGTTTTGATTTGCATTTTCTTAATGATGAGTGACAATCAGCATCTTTTCATGTGTCTGTCGACCATCTGTATGGTTTCTTTGGAGATATGTTTATTCAGGTCCTCTGTTCATTTTTTAATAAGATTGGTTGCTTTTTTGATATCGATTTCTATGAGTTCATTATGGTTTTGATATGCATTTCCTTGATGATTAGTGATGTTTAGCATCTTTTCATGTGTCTGTTGGCCATCTATGTGTCTTGTTTGGAAAAATGTATATTCAGGCCCTCTGCCCATTTTCTAATTGAATTCTCTGCTTTTTGGCACTGAGTTTTATCATTTCTTTATATATTTTGGATATTAAACCTAGATTGGCTAAAGCATTTGCAAATATCTTTTCTCATTCAATAGGTTGCTTTTTTGTTTTGTTGATAGTTTCCTTGTCTGCACAAAAACCTTTCAGTTTGATGTAGTCTCATTGGTTTACTTTTCTCCTGTTGCCCTTGCCTAAGAGACATATGCAAAACAATATTGCTCAGGCTCATGTCAAAGAGCTTTACTATCTATGTTTTCTTCTAGGAGTTTTATGGTCTCATGCCTTACATTTAAGTCCTCAATCCATTTTGAGTTTATTTTTGTATATGGTGTAAGATGTGGCCCACATCCATTAGTCTCTCCAACAAGGGTAACTATTCTCATCTGTTTACTTAGTTGCTTTTTAATGTATTCTTAAAATTAGGGGCATTTTATATAAATATATGTATTTCTACATTTTTACAAAAGTTATTAAGTTAAGAAAAGAACTCAAGAGAAGATGAAGAAACTTTTTTGGTGGGGCTTCGTTGGTCAAAATAGAGTCAGAAATATTGATTTTAAACTAATAACAATACTGTGTGTGAAATTCTATAATAATGGTGTAACTGAGGTGAAAAGAGGGCACCAAAAAATGAAAAATGATGACAGTGCAGGAATCTGAAAAGTCACACAAGAAACATAACATTTGTAAGATGCTTTTGAAGGGGGAATGAGCCTCTCAGACAAAGAAGTAGGAAAAGGGAGAAATACTGGAATAATCAGAGGCATCCAGTTTTTTAAAAAAACGTGTTCAGGAAATAATGAGTAGGACCAAGGAAATATGTAAAAAAAAAAAAACTGGAGGGAATTGTACAAGTTGATATTAAGAAAGAAAATTAGAGTGAGTTCTGAGGAATCTTACATGTCAAAGTCTTAGCTGTAACCTTCACACTAGAAATTGGTATCTATTGAAGTATGCAATCAAAGTCTACTTCTTTCTGATTATGCTTCTCCTATGAACTCATGAAATATGGAAGGAAGAAGTTTTTGAGTCTCAAATTTAATTGTGAAGTTTCAAAGCAACCATATAGATCCATGAATATGCCTTTAAGCCAAATGAGAATATATCAGGAATTATAGATCAATGTCTCTCTCACAGACACACAAAGACACACAGACACACACACATTTGAAATTATTGCTAAATTAGTAACACCTGTAATTACATATGTTGACATTGCCCAGAAAGAACAATTATTTCCACACTAACATTTAAGGTTAAGCAGAAGAATCCTAGGATAATGACATGAAGCAGGAGAAACCATTGAATCAATGCAATGTAGGGTATCTGAAAGCTTCATTTCGTGCTGAGAGATCTGTAGTCCATAAGATTAAAATATGTATTTATATTGTAGGTGGAAAGTAAAATTTTAATTTTTAATTTTGCAGTCCTTCAAATCCAGATACCATTGCATAGAGAAGTGAGGCTAGCTTAATATTTTTAAAAAGTTTGGCAGTATAAAGAAAAGGAAATTTTCAAAGAAGCAACTCCAGGAGGAAAGAGAAGATTTGAAAGAAACATTTCCATACTTATAAATACCTCGCAAACTTACTGGCTGGAAGAAATCTGTGAGAAAAGGGCTGAAAGTAAAGTGAGAAAGTTAGGAATTGGGAAGAAAATAGACTTGAAGTAAAAGGAAGTACATTTTTTCCCAATAAAAAAACATTAAGGGCAGATTCAAGAATCATTTGTTATAAGAAATTGAATGAAGGCTATTTCTCAAGACCTAATTTCTAAATATATAAGAGGAATTCAAGAATCTCTCCGGGCCGGACCCATGGCTAAGTGCTTAAGTTCGTGTGCTCCACTTCAGTGGCCCAGGGTTTCGCCAGTTGGGATACTGGGTACGGACCTAGCACTGCTCATCAGGCCATGCTGAGGCGGCATCCCACATAGCACAGCTAGCAGGACCTACAACTAGAATATACAACTAGGTACTGTGGGGCTTTGGGAAGAAAGAAAAAAGGAAGATTGGCAACAGATGTTAGCTCAGGGCCAATCTAAAAAAAAAAAAGGAATCTCTCTCTCCCAACACTTTCACACACTTATGCAAACACAGACACATATTTTGAAGAATAAAAACATTAAGAAAAATCTAAGAGGATTATGCTTAGAGAGGTCGACATAAATATATATAATTGACTATGTATTATATATAAGTGATTTTATACATATAATCAAAATATATACACACACACATATATCCTATCCCAATAGATATACCTGTCAGTTTGCAGTAATTTTTTTAAGAATACTGGATTATTTTTTGTTTGTCATATTAACAATTTTTGTGTCCTCTGTTTAATTGACTTTACATGTGCCCATGCACCATTCTGAAAGGTGAAGTTCAATGAGTTTTGATGTATGTGTACAGCAGTTTCACCACTGCGACAGTCAAGATATAGAACTTTTCCACCACAGCAGAAAGTCCCCTTTCTTTCCCTCCCCATTAAATGTCTCCCGTCTGACATAGACAAGTGATCTTCATTTTCTCTCCTGTTCTAGAACTTCACGGGATGGAATTATACACTATGCATCTTTTTCCACCATTTCTCTCACTCAACATAATGCTTTAAAACTTTATCTATGTGGCTGCATGTGCAAGTGGTCACTTATTTCAAAGCCAATTTGGATGGAAAACTGTTCATTTTCAAGCTGTTCGGCAATGTTGTTTTCACGTTGTGGTTATTTAGAATAACCTGGATGTGAATAGCTCTGTACTATCTTTGTGTCGGCAGACATTCTCGCTTCTCTTTTGTAGGAGTGGAATTGCTGTATAGCAGTACTTGTGCATATTTAATAATGTACAATAATTTATTCAATTTTAGTTGGGTTATTTTCCCTTATATTATTTGTGTTGTATGCATTCTTCATATATGCCAAATACATATTCTTTGTCATGCACATACACAGAGAGACACACACAGACACACAAAGACTTTTGTTATGTGTGACATATATGTGAAATTATTACATATATTTGTGTACATAATTTATCATAATATATGCACATAATGTGTATTTGTGTGTTTGCTTTAGTGTGTGTGTAGTGTGTTTGTATACATACGTGTGACTTTAATTTTCATTAAGCTGTTTTCACCAAAGTAGCTCCTGTTTTGATTAAACCTGTAATTTTTTTCTGGTGTTTCTTGTGCTTTTTTTTCCTCTATTATCTTATCTAAGAGATCTGTGCCAGGGCTGTGAGAAGAACTAAGGCCTGTCTTGATAGCTATACCCCTCAGTTTCAAGAAAACATTTCAAGCAGGAGCTTATATTTTTCCTCCGTCTCTTCTAAAATTTTGTATTTCTCCATGTTTTCTTGGCTTTAAACACAACCCGTTTGGTATCTGCAGCTTGTCTTTGGAACTGCCGCTCTGACTCCATGTGTAGAAAAAGACATTCTGACCATCTGAGAGTTCTTAGATTGTGGACAACATATTTCTTCTCTTTTGAAAGTCACAGTGTTTATAGGCACCAAAACAATACCAGACATGGGGTCATATGAGGGTGGGACAAACTCTGAATTATATATCAAATTCTTATAATTTTTATCAATCAACTTAAAAATGTTTTCTTGTTAAGGGTCAATGGACAATGCACAAAAATATCCTCTTTGGCAATAAAAACAGAAGAAAATACTTACGTTTGTCATTGTAAGTATAAGTATTTTACCGACAAAAGTATATTATGGTTGAAATCTTGGTCTCAACATCTTTTCAGAACTCCATATATCAGAATTCTAGTTCTACTAATAATTAGCAGTGTGACCAGGCACAAGTCCCTAAATTTTCCAAGCACTTAAATTTGTCATGTGCAAAGGGTTCAATCATAGGATGTTGAGGACTCTTTCCAATTTTGAGTGTTATTCAATGATTAACTGAGAGCATGTGCTGAGAAGCTTTATTTTAATAGTTTCTCAGACATAGGAAAACATTTCGAGATAATTTAAAATGACTTTCGGAACTAACATGTAATAGTTCTTTCTTGAGTTTAAATGTTTATGACATTTTGCTTCAACAGAATACATTTTTAAAAATAATCTTAAAACATCTTAATCCATTTACTGTATGGTTTGACTTACCTAAAACCCAAACAAGTCACAGTAATTTAAATACCAAGCATATTTCTTCATAACTAGAGCTTGTGTTTAAAGCAAAGGAGATATTGGTTAAGATTTATATCTCTGTAATCTTTTAAATGACCCCAAACCATATCCCGATTTTAAATCATATAATGTATAAATATTTGATTAAAATTTAAATGCACATAAATCTGTGGTTTCAACCCTTGCCTAACAAAAGAAATAGCACAGTGGTTTTACAAGGAACACACAAATAAGTAAAATATATGTCTGACGTTTTGTCCTACACATTCATCAGTATCTCACTTTTTATATTACGAGTAGCTATTTTAAAAATTATGATTTAATTTTGATTACCCCTAAGATTATTTGCTTCTGTGTCTGAATGAGCAATGTTTTCTCCCATATTTCCTATAATGTCCTCCATTCTTATAGTCCTTTTTACATGGATTTGACAGGGCAACTTAAGGAGGGATAGAAATGAAGTGAGCTGGCCTATTGTACAGGCCTCTTGGAAACGACGAATTGCAAACTACCCAGGTTCTATTTTGCAGAAAATAACGTATAATTATAACAAGCACAATACCAGCATTGGCCTTAATAGCAACATGATGCTCAGAAGATATATTTACTGTCATTGCCTCCTTAACCTGCATGAACTTTATAGACCTATTTAGCGAGATTTTCTGCAGAACGCTCCTTTATAAAACCATTTTTATAATATATTTGGTTTTAAGAGTTTGAAGACATGCATAAAATTGGATTTAAATTGTCCCCGCGTAACCCATGACTCAAGGACTTAGAGTGGGCTTGGGCAAGATTTAGTTATGAAACTTTGAAGTTGAGACAACTGCTGCTTAGTCTTTGTTGTTGTAGACTAACGATATCAGTGGGAAACACAAATTGGTGTAATGTTAACTCAAATCCTGATGAGTGATTCAAATGAGGTCCTACGTTATGGCTAGAAGAGAGAATGGATGTTAGAGGGTTAATTGATAGTGCAAAGCAGATCAGTACTTATTCTTTTCCCTATAAACATGGCAGAGGAGATGGGCTTAGCCAGAGAGATGGAAGTGCAAACTCCAGGTGGGATCTGAATTGTCTAGATTGGCACTGCCTGCATATGCTCACAAGTACAATTGTCTTGATATCAAGTTGACATGTTAGTGGCAGCTATAAATGTGTTAAGTAATACACCTAGATTGAGGGGCAGAGGAAATTTAACAATTTACATGAAATGTTTAGAAGGTTGCCTGGTACCAGGGAGGTACTCAGTACACAGTTGCACAATGTTTTCAATGGCAAACTGATTTCAGTGCTAAAGAGAAACTAATTCATTTTTTGGAGAAGGAAAATAGAAAGAACTTTTAAAGCTGAATTTGATAATATGCCATATCACAACAGGATCAGGTTGTTTACGGAAATGTTGGTTTAATTGGAACATGTTTTAGAACATTTAGAACACATTTAGAATATTTCAGTGGACTGGAAGATGAGAAACATTTCATTGTATATGAAGGGAGCAATAAGGAAAATTCTTCCCTACTTTTCTTGCTGTCAATATCAATTTAAACATTCACTGTACTGCTGGAGTGAGACAAAGATCAACATAGGAATTGTTGTTACCAATATGCTGAGTAAGCCAGGATAAATGTAATCAACAGTGAATTAATTAAGGTGAGGCTATATACATAGATATTTACTCTCTCATCTCTCTCACAGATGCAGGAAAAAATAAATTTGAAATTCTCCATTTGTCAAAAACTGCTATCATAATAGATATTGTCAATGAGGATGAAGGAGGCCTGGTCACCAAAATGGTTGCATTGGTTGGTATGTGTGACATCCTGACCATATTTCCATTGTCATTGTCATGTAACATTTCCATTGTCAGTATTTCTACTGTGAAAATCAGCATGTATTGACATCATTCATTATTAAGGGTACAAGTCTAGGTCTCTGTGTGTTCACTGAATTAAGTACCAACAATGTAATCTAGAAAGAAAGATGAAAAGAAGAGCTGGGAGGGGTGGGAGGTATCAGCTCATCAGGACTTTGAAAATAATTTCCGTTTGTTAAAAATATAACAATTCAGTTTTTGAGAAATAATTTCTTGACAGGTCAACTGATTCCAAGCCATGGCTATATTGAGGTTGACCTCAATTCCTTCACTTTATGACAGTTTTTCAAATGCCTTTTAAGCCTTGGACTTGAAGCTTTTTGAATAAATCTTGATCATGTTTCATCCTTCCAAAGCATTGTACTCATGAAACTTGAGAATCTCACCCCCAGAATAACCACAGAGGGCCACTGAGGGTGTGTTTTAGCCATGGGGAGAGTAGGGTTCAACTTGGAAAAAGTAAGGGTAGAAGTGTGGGTTCCTAAGAGGAAAAGTTGTCACCCATTGCTACGTGTGGCAGGGCTGACGTTTCTCTGGAAGGCGAGAATCAAGTTTCCACTTTATTTGGGTCCAGCACAGGGCACGAATGTTGGGTATAGGTTCCAAGAAGGTGGCAGAGAGGCAGGAGATGAGCTAGTCCAGAGGGCCTGGGCCCAAAGTTCATGGCGCTCCTGATGAGGCTTCGGAGTTCGGCTGATGTTGCAGAGTCAGACTGGGACTAATTCCTTTCAGGGACCTAAGTCAGGCAGCTGATACTGTGACACAGCAAATGGTAACTACGTGAGACTCTGTGAAATTATTCCACACGAAGAACTGATTTGTACCTTCGCTTTTCTCAATCATGGATCCAGAAATTCTTAGTTCCTTGGGAAAATCTGTGCTTTATGTATGGTGATTTTCAGGCAAAGTAGGAGATATTCAGAAGGAAGATATTGAGAAGTTCAAGGAGGTGGCTAAAGAAAAGGAGATTCCAGAAGAAAACATTGTGAATATCATCAATATTGGTAATGTGAATATATTGTTTTTCTGAATATATCATTCAGCTGGAATGTAAATATACTATCAGGAAACAAATTGATTCCTTTTACATTTCCTCTTCCATAAAGAATCTTTTGTAAAATCTGTTATTTAAGGAAAAGATAATCTTAGAAATATTGATAAATGGTATTGATCAGTAGCTCGTTTTCTCCTCTTTCATTTCTTTCTACATCCTCAGATGACTGTCCTACAAGTGAATGAAAACAGGGACTTGCACCCCTCTGAAATGTAAGTAAAAGTGACCTGTTATTAGTGCTGCTACACCAAGTAATTCAATAAGCGCACATTGTGACTTCATATGGGCCATATTTTCTAAGTAACTATTTTTGTCCGAATTACTTAAATTATGTCACTAGGAATGTGTTCTGTTATATTAGGTTATTTTGCTCCTCTTGAGTCCTGTTAAATTGCAAATTGGTTGAGCTGATTAATGTTCAAGCAGTTTTGGTGACGAAGCATTATCATCCAAGAACCACGCAAATGATACACATTTAGAGAGAAGCAGGAATTGCCAGAGGTTGGTGGGACAACTGGAAAAATAGTTTTCCACTCACTCCTGAGCCAATGGTTGCCAGTGTATGTCACTGCTCCAGGAGAAATGGACTTAAAGAGAACTCACCCTACCTGCAATCACCATGTCGAGTTTTCCATAACCATGACAGCCACGTGGGGAGCCTTACAACCACACTCCATGAAACATGCATTCAATTTCTATTCCCCTTCAGAAGATAGTTTCCTTAAAGTGTCATCTTTAAACTTCCTAAAATGACATAGTCTCAAAAAATAACATTGATCTAGGCTGAAGCATGCTTTTTTCCTTTGTTTTTTTCTGTTGAGAAGAAATAGAGAATAAAGCAAACAAAAACATTAGATTCCAGGGTGAATATAATGTAGTGAAACCACAGACCCTTTGGAATTAAAGGAAAGGAGTGTAATTGAATCACAGATCCTGCAAATCATGTTTAGATGGGCCTTCCTCATGAAATGTATCCTGAATCATGAAACTCCTGGAATGTTTCCCAACCACAAAAAGTCCTACAATGTGTACATCCTTGGAAAAATCGCATATGTATCCCCTCATATCATAGAGATGGAAAACATTAAGTCCCACACAGAATTTGTCCACTGCATTAAGCAGAAGCTCCTCTAGTCCTTGACACCCTGCTTACTGTGACTCATCCCTGTCAGGCTGTCATACAGTCAACTCATCCTTTTATTCTGTTTTACTTACCTACAGAAGCTGTCATTGAGGACCAGGCGTATCATTTTCTCAGTGGTATCAAGATCAACAATCTGAAAAAAATCTTTCTTGTTCTTGTCTAACATAACCTTTCTCTCTTCATAAACATGCTTTCTTTCCTATTTTATCTCTCCTAGTCACCATTCATGTCCTGTATGGTGTTATTAGATTTCTGAGTGTTCAAATAAATTGATTTACTATGTATGCTACACATGTGTGTCTATGCAGAAACTCTCACAATTAAAAAACAAACAAACAAACAAAAATTCTCTTTAAATACAGCTATCCAGGAAGATGTACCCTTCATAGGACTGATGTCCCAAAGAGACAATTCTGATTAGGATTAAATAGAGAAGTCCAAGAGCTGTCAAGGCAAGAGGGACAAAGAATATATTCCCACCTTGGAGGGGGCGAGGGTTATGGCTATTTTTCCTGTCGTGGGATGAGGTAGTCTGGTTAACAAAAAGTCCTTAGGAAGCATCTAATTCACCAGAGGGAAGGAACATGTGTGCACCCCATTGAGATTTATACAGAGATAGTCTAAAATGCCATGTATCATAATTGAGGGGGGATCGAGTATCACACCACCATCACCTGTGAAGTTGAGTGGAAAAACTGATATTTCCTTATGAAAGGATCAGTGGTAATCAAACATGGGGCAGCAACAGAGACACTGTCAACCGATAAGGTTATAACATCAGTGTAGTGCTTAGAGAAACGACACCACTGAGAGCTCAGTTAGAGAGCTGCAGCTGCAAACACAGTACTCAACATCTAAAGAAGGTATGCCACTCCATGATGCTTCAAAAAACAGAAGACACAGGATTTCCAAGGAATGGTCATTCCCACTGTAGCAGGCAGAGCACATGGATTGGCTATCCATGATACACAAGGAGTTTATCATCTAATATATCCAGCACACTGGATACAGAACTTATTCCAAAGTTTGGGCCAAAGTTCAGACACATGGTCCATACCCTGGGTAGATAAAAGCAGAGCTAAGCAATATTTACCAGAAAAAATAATGTTTTAGTTACTGGAACAGACACGGCCTCCACACGAGCTACAGTTTGCAAAGGTCAATGGCAGCAACAGTGAAGATTATTATGGATTTAGCTGCAAGTAATGGAGATGTCAAGGGCAGTGTTTGAATTGTCCCTCCGGCATAGAAGAGTGTATGCATTTGGAGTTCTAACTCTGGTTATCAGAGGGTACCTGGAAATCCTAGATTGGATTGATGGATATAAACTTTGGCCATAGAATAGAAAGAGAAGGTGAATCTAACCTGAATCTCTTAAGGAATGTTCAAAGGCAAATCTTGACATAAGCAGTTAAAAAAATGGGGAATATTATATATGTGTGTGCGTTGACGTGTGACTAATATAAGTAAGGAAAAAGGGGTTATCACCACAAATCCTACAGAAATAAACAAAACAGTATGAGAAAAGTATAAACAGAGGTATGTCAATAAATTTAACACTTTGGATGAAATGGACACATTTCTTGAAAGATGTGGTACCAAAATTGACTCAAGATGAAACAGAACATTTCCATAGTCTTGTAACTATTAAATCGAATCTGTCATCACAGAAACTTCCATAAAGAAGTTGCAGTTCCAGAAGTTTTCACTAGCAAATCCTTTCAAGCATGCAAAGAGCAAGCATGAAACTTAGACAAATTTTTCAGAAAGAGAAGATGTAGGAAGACTTTCCTATCCCTTTTATGAGGTCAGCATAGCCTAAATCCCCACATCTGACAAAGACGCCCATACAGACACGATCATTTGAGTTCATATGGAAATACTTTCCATCCCAACTTGCTCGTTTATGCCCCTGACCAGCATTAGGTTCTCCTAACAGTTTAGCATAAATTCTACATTACACATATGCATTCAATTTCACTAACACACAATGTTAGGTTATATACCAGACTGCAGTCTTTGTTTTACAGAGACATAACATTTGAACCAAAATATACACAGAATCATATTTATGTTTTTCTTACATAGCAATCATTTTAGAAATTATTCATATGTTGATTCATAGAGATCTAATTTTTTATTTTACTTTTTTACATTCTCCATTTTGAGTGTGTCATAAGTACCAGACCATTAAACTTATTTTTTAAAATTTCAACATTATAAAAAACAAGCCAGTTAATGATTTTTATATGTATCAATTATTTCAAAATTTCTATATATGGAAATCCCTTATTAAAGTGAGTGCTTGGTTAGAATTTTGATAGATAGAATCAAAGTGACCTTTCAAAATACCTTTGTATTTTCTGTTCTCACTTCCCACCTTGTTCTTCCTGAGATATATATTTAACTTACCGTTCCAACTATAGTCAGAGCTTTGCTCAGAACCCTACACTATGTAAACACTATTTCCGAAATAGGAGCCCCACCCTACACCAGCACACTCCATGTTCTTACATTGTTCGTTTTTGTTTTACCCCAGAATTAGAAAGAGGTGATATATTTGGTATCTTGTTTGTTTTCCTTTTTTTTTAATTGAAGTAACATTGATTTGTAACATTACGTAAATTTCAGGTGAATACCATATTTTGATGCCTGTTATATTCTGTCTTCTTTCTCTGGAAGATAACCTCACTGGATCATGAACGGGGTCTGTCTGTGCCCTGCTGAATCTTGAGGTTAGGCTGTTGTGGGCACATCATATGCACTAAACCAATATTCACTGAAAACAGGCCAAACCCTGGATGGTAGGAATCTTACAGAACACACTTTCTTTATAATGCATAATTGAATACGTGGATGGTTTATTGGACTCTATGATATTTTCTAGTATAATACAGTAAGATAACAAGATAAATCAAGTCATTCTTCAGAGAACTGCGTCTTGTTCTCTCACTGAGTGCATACAACTCAAGAAGGACCAGTGTGCGAATCACTGTTGCTGACACTGGCTTTGGTTCAAACAAGGCACAAGTTAAAAGTCAAGACGAGAGTGGAAAAAAGCAATTTTTATTTAATTCAGAATATATGTTTTGATAAAGGACTATGTCCTAAGGCTAACTGACTGAAATATCATCACAGGAATAGAGGGCCCAGCATTTAGTAAAACAAATAGACACTCTGAAATTAAAACAAAGAACAAACAGAAATCAACCGAAATACATCAACAACCGAAGATGAAACCAAAGGTAAACACTGGCAAGAGACAATGGGACCTTTCTTTCTGGAAGCTGCCCTCTCTGGCATTTGCAGGATGTCATACCTAGTCCTCTCCATGATTATTTGTATGCCTAAAGGTTTGTAGAAGTTTGCAAAAAAGTTAGGAAGGTCATGGAATAGGTCAGATTTTTGTATTTGTTCCTTTTTCTCTCAATGTGGTTGGGTTTGAGGGAATCTCAATGGCCAGCATGGGTGAAGGAAAGCTCCAAGGAGTGAGGCTTTCTAGGGAGAAAATTTGAGATAAAGTGAATATGTAGGTTCTTCTATTCAAATTTTGTGTTCATCCGTTCTTTTTCTGGGGTGTTTGCCACCTCAAAGTATTTCTAAACAACATGATATTTAGTGGAAAAATGATGATACTTTCCTTACACACATGAGGCACCCTTGGAAGATACAGTGAAATGTACAATGCGGGTAACTATTTAATAGAAGCATCCCTATTTTCTGTTAATCTCTTTCCAGGGGGCACCTCCCTAAATATCAATTTGCATATCTTCCTTTCTTCCACATACAACATCCCTTTTTGTCCTATTGAACCCGTCATGACTCTCTTTCTCTTTCTTCATGTGTCTCAGATACACCTAGTCATACAGTTGGGATGCTGCTCGAGTCTTACTTCCTTCTAAGCACACCTGAGTCAGCCCACCCCTGCCTTCTAGAGCCTGGCTACATTGCCCAACGGACTGTGCTGACAAGAATTCCTTCTATTTCAGCCATACTTCCGTGAGTTAAACTGAATGTCTCTTGGGCATGGCTCTGGATTCTAGATTCTTAACTGCTACTTTGCAATTTATTTTCGCCAAGAAATGTCCCTGTTATAGAGCAGCATTGCCCATATTTGCCCAATTAAACAAAAATCATCCCCTGGGACATACACTGACTCACTCATTCATCAATTCTAGGCACTGGGTTGCAGCCAAAACCAAAAATTCAAAGATTATGACAAAGTGGAATTTACTGTTTACTGCAGGGTGACTTGGTATAAGAAGGAAAACTGAGTATGAAGTTGGAAGGCAAAAGGAGTTATAGAGAGTTGAGGGATTTGCACACTGTCGGGATGGGCAAGCATCTGAGTCAGAAGGAGTCCAGTGTGGCTGGACCAGAGGGACAGAGAGGCAGAGTAGCTGCAGATGGGTGAGGAAAAGAAGCAGATCATAGAGGGATGTGCAGGTTGTCAGAATTGGGGCTTCATTCAGAGTGCGGGGAACAGGTTAATACATGCCAACCAGGATTTCTCAACCTCGGCCTCAGTGACACTTGGGGCTGAATAATTCTCTATTATTGGGGGCTGTCCGGTGCATTGCAGGATGTTTAGCAGCAAGAGTTAATCTCTACCCGCTAGATGGAAGGTACACCACTCCTCTCTCCCATAGTGGCAGCCAAAAGTGTCACCAGACATGTCCAAGTGTCTCTTTTGGGTGTCACAATGACCCCTGGTTAGGAACCAAAGACCTTATAAACAGTGATTAGAAAGCCTTCCCCAGATCGGGTCAAACTGAAATTTCTGCTTAAAGCCTAGAAGTCTGCATGGGAAATGAGTACCCCAGGGGACCCTGAAAACAGGGCAAGCTTCGGAAATGGATATCTACTGAAGTGTCACAAGCAGTCAAAGCCTACTTCTTTCTGATTATGCTTCTCCTATGAACTCAAGAAAGATACAAGAAAACAAGGTTTGATCCTGAAATTTAACTGTGAAGTTTCAAATTGACCATATACGTCCATGGAAATGCCCTTAAACCAAATGAGAATATTTTAGGAATTATAGATCAATGTCTCTCTCTCTTACATTGACATTATTGCCCAGAAAGAGCAACAATTTCCACACAAACATTGAAGTTTAAACAGAAGAATCCTAGGATAAAGACATGAAGCAGGAGAAATCATTGAATCAATGAAATGTCAGGTATCTAAAAGCATGATTTTATGCTAAGGGATCTGTTGCCCATCAGATATAAATATGTATTTATATTGTAGGGGGAAAATCAAATGTTAATTTTTCCTTTTTGTAGTCCTTC